TCTAGAGATTATTTCTGGTTTTGATCCTTCGTCTGTCACTATTGCACCCATGTATTTGAAGCTGCATACGGTCTCAAGCCTCTGGTTGTTGACCCAGATGTTCATTATGATGTTCTTACTGCTGTTAAACATCCGTTTGGTCTTCTCGGCACTGATTTCCATGCTGTGGGCTGTGGGGGTCTTTTTAAGACGGTCTACTAAGCTGACTAAATCTTGCGTGAAAAGTTATGCACATGATAAACAATTTTGTCTTTATTGAAACTTCTTATAAAATGTGCATGGTGAAACAAGTACGGGGTATGTTATGATCTACTCGACCTTTACATATATAAGTTTTTGCTATTTGCTTGTATCTGCATCGGTCAAGAACTTTGGTCATTATCCATGAGGTCACTGATATTTTTCCAGTAAATAAAAATGCGATACAATATTCTGTCTAAGTCGTTTTTCTTTTGAATTTTATTCCGCTTTTCGTTCGTTTCTTATCTGAATAATAATCGTTTTGGTCTCGTGTCTGTTGAGAGGTATTAATTTGTCAAGATATAACCAGTCAGTATGACATCGGTCATATTTCGCCTTGAATAAAGAAGGTTGATAGTAACTCTTGAGATAAACAGGAGCCAACCACTTTGGAGTGTAAAAAAATGTATAATGGAGACTTTCGCTTCCGAGAGGGTCTGCACAAGTGCTCTGCTATGTTGATGAAAAACACTGCGGACAAAAAATCATTCAGATCTAATTCATGATAGACAAATTATATGGCGATATCAAGAAACAGTTCGTAAACATTTTCCTCGTAATGGCTCCTCGACTTGTTTCTTTTAAGGCTTTGACCATCTGAGCTATGAACAGATGCCTCCGAGAAAATGGCGTAAACGTCAAATATCACAGATAAACTGAATTTGATCATCATTTCCCTGGAGAATGTTGCAGAGTGGCTTCTAGGGATGCAAATTTCAAAATTTAGAAAGTAATTTAGGATGTGCCTAGATGGCGTAGTAATGGACAAGCACTGAAGATATGCAGCTCTAATATGCTTTTTTCAGTCCCCCAAAGACACAGCATAGATGTTTCGAAAAAGTCGAAAGGTTTTGAAAGACTTCCGCATAGATTTAAAAGTGGTCTAACCAATCAAACTAGCTTTTCATAAAAGTAGAAACATCCCAACTTTAATAACAAACTTTATTTTCACTTCGTGACTGAGAGAGGATTTCACATTTTCATTCTCTTTTTTGTTTTTTTGCTGTTTGCAGCACGACAGATAATGGCGCCACTTAATACAGTGAGTGATAGTAAAAATTAATATTGTTTCACTCCCTCTGTTTAGATCATTAGGAGTTCGACTGATTCACCCGGTCGTGTCTGTCAGGACCAACGCAGCCTCTGTGAGATACGTCATACCAGCTGAAGATGGCGATAGTAGTAATTAAATTCACCACAAGAAATGGAAATGTGAAATAGAATAGGTTTTACACCTCTATCAAAACTTTTAAGAAGCGGGACCTGCGGGCTTAACATCCATTTCCGAAAGGACCAAACCAAATAAAAAATTCGTGTTAAGTGGCTTTCCTAAGGATACAACATGGGACTGCGTTGAGGCTCGAAACCCCAAACCCACAGTCTCACACGATTACGGGTTCTGTAGCCTAACCACTAGGCTACGGACGCCACCACACCACAAGACACACGCTATTAATCCAAATGAAAACTAGAAAAGTACAATGCTTTAGTCATAGTCTAAAAGACACCAGACTATTATTTCAAGATATGCAGGGTACAAGGGTTAAGGATGGACAACGTACAGAGTGGACTTATCCCATCAAAATATGGACTGGGCTAAAATGACAAAGTGCACGAGAGTTGCCAACTACCGTAAAAAATGATGGATCATTTCATGTAAACATCGGAGCCCGAAATGATACCTCTAGATATTTCAAACAGGCATCATCACGCCAGGAATGGAACGCATGTCTTCTGGAAAGAAGGGGAAGACACTAACCATGTTACCACTTATGCAGGTCTGTGACTTGAAATGAATGAAATAAATGTCTATGTATTATCAAACGTAATTCAAGATTCGCTTTACCAGCTTTTGAAAAGTTACAAATCACACTGGGTTGGATGAGAAAAGATTTTTAAAAAAGTAGTAGTAAGGAAGCTAACTTTTTCTTTCATCTCTTCAAAAGCTTAAAAGAGTTTTTGGCTGAACAGGGGAGGTAACAGGTTAGATAACTTCAGTCTTAGGTCAAAGGGGTTATCTCCCTCAAAGTTAGGAACAGGTGCTGCGTGATCACCACAGCCTGATCTCCTTTGCTATACAGGTATCAAACTTGGTCGATTTTAAGCACAAGTGACTATCCCGAAAAATGCTGCTTTGAGAAAATAGAAGGTAAAGCTTTTGCCCCTTGTTCAGTTCCTTTAAAAGACTAGGAGAGTTTTCCCTATAAACAAACAAATATACACACCAATGAAACCAAACTTCTCCTATAGGAAGGGCAATGCCCCCTTTAAATGTAGGTCAAGATTTCTGAAAACCTCCGAGATCTGGGTTAACCCGCTTGTCCTTAAAAGCGACCACTTTATATTCGGAGGCCCCAAAGCAAGATGTCAACCAAGGGACGCCAACGTACATTACAGTCTCAGAGAAATCAGAAGAAGAAGAAGAAGGAGGGGGAGAAGAAGAAGAAGAACAGGAAGAAGAAGAAGAAGAAGAAGAAGAAGAAGAAGAAGAAGAAGAAGAAGAAGA